TTTTAAAAAAGAAGTTGATCGATCTTTGCACCAACTTAAGAGTAATTTAGCGCTTGTTAGTGTTCCTTCTAATTCCTTGCTCTGTTTCCTACAGGGGATCTTACTTCAAATGATGCCCACTATAAAAAGTTCCAGCATTGTTTTGAAGCTCTGTTGTAATCAATTTCTTAGACAAAGTATTCACTTTTTAAGGTGGTTGCCGGCAGACCCTGTGCGACTGCATCGTGATGGTCAGTTCTAACTGTTCTGCTGTCACTGTTGTGGCTCCGATCAACATCGCAATTATAAAATACTGGGGCAAAAGAAATGAGGTGAGCTGTACATTTATTTGTTCGTAGTATTTTTTGATGTTAGCTGGGATTTATTCGCTTATGTGCGGTAAAAAGTTCTCTTATGGTTTGACACCTTTGTTTAAGAACAAGAATGGAGGGAAAAGTACTTGGAAGAATGTCTTTTTAAAAAATCTTTGTGTCAGAATTGTTGCTTGGCACCATTTTCAGACTTCCTTCTTTGTCCATGTTGTTGATGTGTATATAGGAAATTGGGGTAGTTGAGCAGGATGTTAATTTCCATGATCTTTATACGAGCATTCATTGAGGGAGAAAGAAGGCTGAGGAAAGCATTGATCTTATTTGTAGTTAACGATCGAGGAAAATTTTCTGGGTCATACTGTTCAAAGATTTATCGCTTTGCGAATGTAATACGTTTTAGTTATACTGACTGGATTCCGGAAGGTGATTATTTATTGAAGAAGATATAGACCACTTGGGTCCAGAGATTAATTTTGGCGTACTTTTTGAAATCTCGATTTGCAGGAGCTGATGCTCCCGTGGAATGATTCGATTTCTGTTTCGATTAATGATGTCTTTGCCGAAACGTGTATTCGCATGGGACCAAGTATTAAGGACGATAACGTCTCTATAAATGGTGTTCATGTAGATCTGGAAAAGGAATCTAGGTTTTCAAAACTCATCGTGGTGTGTATTTCCCTTTTGAGTGCACACTTTGATTTTTTTGTTTCAAGTACCCTCTCAAATTTAACACATGGGCTTTAATATTTAACATTTTTATTTGATACTCGTTGCAGTGCGCTTTATGTTGAGTTTATTAATTGAAGAGCTGTTTTTTATGCTATCAAATGCTGTGAAGTTATAAGAGAGTTGCTTTTGTGATAAGCAGAGTTGCAGTTCAGCTACTTTTTTTTTATTTTTATTGTATTTCATCTCCACTGTATTTGCCTCATTATTTATATTTGGGATTTTTTTTATCAGTTTAGGAGATGAAGAGATATGCACGCAAGAGGAAAGCAGTTTCAGGAAACGGAGATTCGGAAGAACAGAAAGACAGACATTTTCCTAATTTTGAGGTAGCTCCTAAATTCTTTGCTACTTTTACTCCCTAGTATTATATACGCAATGTAGCGTCTGTTGTTTGAGAATTCCAAGTTTGGGCTTCAAGCAAAAAAGTTGAAAGTTGATTTGTATAGCTGTACTTAAAAGCTCACATTTGAGTTCGCATGTCACATTCTAAAAGATAGGACTGAATCATCATATGAGATTCAGAATTGATGTTAAGGGCGTTGTAGATTCTAAAAGATGTGAAAAATTTATTCTTACAGTATAAAATGATAATACTCAACAGTTCATGTTGCTAGACCGGTGATCGTGCTAGTTCAGGTTGTAAAAAGATTTTGATAATAGTATATGTCACATCATTTGTTTGTGTTTCTGTTTCATCAGCTTTTGTTACAGATTACTTCGAAAACGAATTTTCCAGTTGCGGCAGGACTTGCTTCATCAGCAGCTGGTTTTGCAGCCATTGCTGTCGCTTTGGGTAAATTGTTTGATTTGCCCCAAAGCGATATTATTCGGCTTGCACGGCAAGGTTTTTTTTAAACAATCCTTTACCTCCAAAAAAGGCTATTTGTGATTTGAAGGTTTTGTAGAAGAAGTTTACGGTTATTCCGTTGCCATTTTAAGGTTCTGGAAGTGCCTGCAGAAGTGTTCTAAGTGGTTTTGTTCATTGGAAAGCTGGTTTTAAAGAGGACGGTTCGGACTGTATATGTGAAGTAATTAATGTTCCTTAATTCAAATCTATAAAGGCATTTAAAAAGTTTTATTTTTTCTGATATGGTGCTTCCTCGCGAAATTAATCATTTTCTTCAGTCAACTCTTCAGCTTTTTCTTTAAGTTCGCCCTGGTACCTTGGGGTTTCCGTCTTCCATGCGAAGGCATAAGTGGTAATTCAGTAACTTTTTGCAGTGGGAGTTAGAGTGGCCTCAAAGTTAAGGAAAAATGCATTTTTTGGTCGGCCTTAGCCTGCCTTGAAAAATTTAAACTTGCTCCATTCACAAATTCAGTGCTTTTGTAGTCATTTCATTTTACAGAGTTCTTCCGGTTCTTTCAGAATTTAGTCCTTTTTTGAGATTCAGTGATTTTCAATGTGCGTTACCGATATCTACTGATGGACTGATGAATTACTGAAAAAAATGAGTTGTTGTGAAAACCGCATTTGAGCAAGAGAGTTTTCTCTATTTTACCGTCGAAAAATTCGATTACCTGTTCTGAATTACTGTAGCTGGGAAGAGTCGGCGCTGAAGTCGTTCAGATTGGCAGCCTGCTAATCTGAATCCATGACTGGTGCTACAAGCGATTTCAGTAGGGTTCTCGAAACGCTTCAGCTTTTTCCTCATAATTCTTTTTTTACAGCTTTTATAACTGATCGACGCTTCATTTTAGAATCAGTTGGGCTTTCGAGAGAAAAAAGTTTTACACTATATATCTTTCTTTGAAAAAAATTAAAACTCCAAGGTTTTTTAGCATATTTCAAGATGAGGGTTTCTTACTTTGTAATTTATGAGTGAAAAATAATATTTTGAAAAGACATGAAAGTGAATAATATGTTGTCTGAAATGACTAAAAAGTATTCGCTTTTTGGAGGGACGAAGCAAATTACAAATTTTCAAAACAACCCGTTGTTGGTCGGAAAATGCACCACCCTGCCAATTTCCGTTTCAAAGGGCTGGTAAAGTAGTCTTTTGGCTTTGAATATAGAACACAGTCCATTCCGTTCAGCAAAGTCTAGAAGGATTCTGAGGGGTTTACGGGAAGAACTGGTTGATTTGCCGTGGATGAAGTCATTTTTATTTTGCAGCATGTCAGCATTATATTTATTTTAGAGTATTGCACCTATTGACCATTGGAGCTCGTTGAGGGCTTTAGTGCTGGTAACTCAGAGTGGTAAAAAGGAGATTGGGAGCACAGTTGGTATGCGTCGAACGGCGAACACATCGGAGTTGTATCGGTATCGCATTGAGAAAACAGTTCC